AAGTGACCCCCAGAGGTGTCCTCAATGTCCCCAGGTGTGTCCCCAATGTGTCCCCAATGTCCCCAATGTCCCCAAATGTCCCCAATGTGTCCCCAAATGTCCCCAATGTCCCCAATGTCCCCAGGGGTGTCCCAAATGTGTCCCAAATGTGTCCCCAACCCTCCCCAGATGTGTCCCCAGGTGTGTCCCCAATGTCCCCAGCCCTCCCCAGGTGTGTCCCCAGCTGTCCCCAGGTATGATTTTTGTCCCCCCAGGTGTGTCCCAAATGTGTCCCCACATCCCCCAGGTGTGATTTTTGACCCCCCCAGGTATCCCCAGGTGATCTTTTCCCCCCTCAGGTGCATTTTCAGGTGTATTTTTTCCCCAGGTGTATTTCAGGTGTATTTCAGGTGTATTTCCAGGTGTATTTTTTTCCCCTCCCCAGGTGTATTTTCAGGTGTATTTTCCCCTCCCCAGGTGTACTTTTTCCCCTCAGGTGTATTTCCAGGTGTATTTTTTCCCCAGGTGTATTTTCAGGTGTATTTTTTTTCCCCAGGTGTTTCCAGGTGTGTATTTTGAGGTGTATTTTTTCCCCAGGTGTATTTCAGGTGTTTCCAGGTGTATTTCCAGGTGTATTTCAGGTGTATTTCAGGTGTATTTCAGGTGTGTATTTTGAGGTGTATTTTTCCCCCCAGGTGTATTTCCAGGTGTATTTTCCCCCTCAGGTGTATTTTTTTTCCCCAGGTGTATTTCAGGTGTATTTTCCCCCTCAGGTGTTTTTTTTCCCCTCAGGTGTATTTTTTTTCCCCAGCTGTATTTCCAGGTGTATTCCAGGTGTATTTCCAGGTGTATTTCAGGTGTATTTTCCCCCCCCCTCACCTGTCAGCGCCTCCTGTGCGAAATATTTGACGTCGACGTCCTGGTCCTGCGTCAGCTTCTCCAGCACCGGCTTCACCTCGGTCTGCAGCGTCCTGGGGCACAAACGGGGCGAAACGGGGTGAAAATGGGAAAAAATGGGACAAAACGGGACAAAAATGGGTAAAAATGGGAAAAAATGGGAAAAAATGGGAAAAAATGGGACAAAATGGGAAAAAATGGGACAAAACGGGACAGAAATGGGGTGAAAACGGGGCAAAATGGGGCAAAATGGGGCAGAATGAGGCAAAATGGGACAAAATGGGAAAAAATGGGAAAAAATGGGGCAAAAATGGGACAAAATATGAGGCAAAATGGGGCAAAAACGGGACAAATTGGGGCAAAACGGGACAGGTGAGACCCCAAAATGGGGCAAAATGGGGCAAAAATGGGAAAAAATGGGACAGAAACGGAGTAAAAACGGGGCAAAATGGGAAAAAATGGGATAAAATGGGACAAAAATGGGAAAAAATGGGGCAAAATGGGGCAAAATGGGAGAGAATGGGGCAAATTGGGACAAATTGGGACAAAATGGGACAAAATGGGACAGAAACGGGGTAAAAACGGGGCAAAATGGGACAAAATGGGAAAAAATGAGGCAAAATGGGACAGGTGAGACCCCAAAATGGGACAAAATGGGAAAAAATGGGAAAAAATGGGAAAAAATGGGACAAAATGGGGCAAAATGGGGCAAAATGGGAAAAAATGGGACAGAATGGGACAAAATGGGGCAAAATGGGGAAAACGGGACAGGTGAGACCCCAAATGGGACAGGTGAAGGACCACAACCAGCAGGCACCAGTTTGTCCCAGTTTGTCCCAGTTTGCACCAGTCCATACTGGTTTTTACTGGTCCATATTGGTTTTTACCAGTCCAAACTACTCCAAACTGGTTTTTACCAGTCTGCACCAGTCCATCCCAGTCTGTACTGGTTTTTAGCAGTCCAAACTGGTTTTTACCAGTCCAAACTGGTTTTTACTGCTCCAAAGCGGTCCGTGCTGGTCCGTACTGGTTTGGACTGGTCTGTACTGGTTTGGACTGGTCCGTACTGGTCCGTACTGGTTTGGACTGGTCTGTACTGGTTTGGACTGGTTTGGACTGGTCTGTACTGGTTTGGACTGGTCCGTACTGGTCCGTACTGGTTTGGACTGGTCTGTACTGGTCCGTACTAGTTTGGACTGGTCTGTACTGGTCTGTACTGGTCTGTACTGGTCCGGACTGGTCCGTACTGGTCCGTACTGGTCTGTACTGGTCCGTACTGGTTTGGACTGGTCCGTACTGGTTTGGACTGGTCCGTACTGGTCCGTACTGGTCCGTACTGGTCCATACTGGTCTGTACTGGTCCGTACTGGTCTGTACTGGTTTGGACTGGTTTGGACTGGTCTGTACTGGTTTGGACTGGTCCGTACTGGTCCGTACTGGTCTGTACTGGTTTGGACTGGTCCGTACTGGTTTGGACTGGTCTGTACTGGTTTGGACTGGTCCGGACTGGTCCGTACTGGTCTGTACTGGTCCGGACTGGTCCGTACTGGTTTGGACTGGTCCGTACTGGTTTGTACTGGTGCTCACCCGCTGTCCAGGATGGGCCCGATGCGCTGCAGCGATTTGGCCACGTTGAAGCGAACGTTGGCCACGGCGTCGGCCGCCATGCGGAGCACGGTGGGCAACATCTGCGTGGTGGTGACTTCCTGGCCACAGACCTCGGACAGGACCTGGGGACAATGGTGACAATGGGACACCTGAGATATGGGACAGGTGTGACCCTCAGGTGACACCATAACACAACATCTGCGTGGTGGTGACTTCCTGGCCACAGACCTCGGAGAGAACCTGGGGACAGGTGACAATGGGACAGGTGACAATAGGACACCT